AGGATGAAGTTTAATAAAGACAAATGCAAAGTGCTCCACTTAGGAAGGAACAATCAGTTTCACATATACAGAATGGGAAGCGACTGTCTAGGAAGGAGTACAGCAGAAAGGGATCTAGGAGTTATAGTGGATCACATGCTGAATATGAGTCAGCGGTGTGATGCTGTTGCAAAAAAAGCAAACATGATTCTGGGATACATTAACAGGTGTGTTGTGAGGAAGACACGAGAAGTCATTCTTCCGCTCCACTCTGCGCTAGTTAGGCCTCAGTTGGAGTATTGTGTCCAGTTCTTGCCACTGCATTTCAAGAAAGATATGGAGAAATTGGAGAGGGTCCAGAGAAGAGCAACGAGAATGATTAAAGGTCTAGAGAACATGACCTGTGAAGGAAGGCTGAAAGAATTGGGTTTGTTTAGTTTAGAAAAGAGAAGATTGAGGGGGGACATCATAGCCGTTTTCAGGTATCTAAAAGGGTGTCATAAGGAGGAGAGAGAAAAATTGTTCATCCTGGCCTCTGAGGATAGAACAAGCAGCAATGGGCTTAAACTGTAGCAAGGGAGGTTTAGATTGGACATTAGGAAAAAGCTCCTAACTGTCAGGGTAGTCAGACACTGGAATAAATTGCCCAGGGAGGATGTGGAATCTCCATCTCTGGAGATATTTAAGAGTAGGTTAGATAAATGTCTATCTGGGATCATCTAGACAGTATTTGGTCCTGCCATGAGGGCAGGGGACTGGACTCAATGACCTCTCGAGGTCCCTTCCAGTCCTAGTATTCTATGATTCTATGATCAATAAGACAAGAGAAACTTGGAGATGATCAGAGAACATCCATTGTGCTTGATGCTCGGATTAGATGAATAGAATTGACGATCCTTGGAAAACAGGCAGATCCTTCCAAAGTTGAGATAACAATCAAGAGATGATGATGGGAACTACAGATTTTAAATTTAGAATAATCAATTAATCAAATAGTCAATGTAATTTGCATCAACTATTTGATTAACTGATAAGGGCGCCTCTGCCTTTGAAATGAAGCAAGAGCCCTGCTGGCTCTTGCTATATTTCAAAGGCAGTAGCATCCCGGGGCTCTTGTACATTTCAAAAGCAAGGAGTGCAGGGCCAGCAGGGGATTGTTTAACTCCCTTGCTAGTCCCACACTCCCGGTGGTGTTTTGCTTTTGAAATGTACAAGAGTCCCCGGAGGGAGTGGTACTGGGTTCCCTTCTCTTCCTCCCACTGGCAGGTTCCCATCGCTACACTTGCCCGGGAGTGGATGCTGCCTGAGAGTGCAGGCATGAGCTTGGGGTATGGGCAACACTGCTGTGTGTTTTCCAAGACCCAGCCTCGTTAGTGGTGTCTTCTTGTGGGAAGGTATCCCATCACGGAGTCTGGAGTAAGGCAGGCCTGTGAAGGAGCCTTGTAAGAAGGATCGAGGGGTTCCTGTATGATAGCATCATGGGGCTCACATTGTTATTTCGAAATAACTCCCACTGTAGAAATGCCCTTAGTGATTCTCTGATTCTCCATTTGTGGAGGAGAGATCTACACTTTCCAGTTGTTGTCTGACTCCGGTTGCATTGACAGTCAGAAAAGTTTCCTGGATTTAAGATGTGAGAATGGCGGTGAATTGAGGTCTTGGTGTATCAGCGGGTCCAGAGATGCCAAGATTTTCTTGTACTTCCAGACCACAGCGGCATCTTCACAGGACATTGGCAAGTGCAATGCCTGCTAAACTGGGAACAATGGCATTGATTTGACAGACTTAAGATTCCTGTGACAATGATTAAGATGGGAATGCTACTATCTTCACTTTGTATGTTTTACAACACAATGTATATTGTGTAACACTTTCTCTTGTACAGTTGTTTTCCCTGTTTATGGTGGAAAAGATGCACACAACTGGGTAAGAGAAACTTTTTTTTTTTTTTTTTAAGAAATACAAAAGTGTGATAGTAAGAAAACTGGCAAGGGGGGGCTGATGTTTAGTAAAGTTATATTTTAATAATTGTTAAAGAAAACTACATGTCCCATTCAAATACATTTTTAAATTGAAGAATGTTATATTTAAAACTATATTACATTAAATTTTTAAAAACCTCTTACTCAATGTAGTGTATCATATAAATGAAAGATGATACTGCATGTCTCATTCCCAAACCAGATATTGAAATTTACTCCCATTTAATGTAAAGCCATTAGCTGGAATTGTATGAACAATGTAATACAAAAACCACTTTTTTTTTTTTTAAACAAACACACCACCACACGCTCTCCATAGGAAGTATTGCTTCATTAATAAATATCAGTACGACTTAAAAAAAGCAAATTCACATTTTATTTTAGATTGAAATAAAACTATACAAAATTGTTTTCTTTGTGCCAAAAATAACAGCAATATCTTCCAAGTCACTTCCCCACAAACAACAAACTGATTTTTAAATTTGTCCAGGTTATGTTTAAAAATGCATATGGGGGCATCACACTATTCTGTGTAATTGTAAAGACAAAAGCAAATAGGCTTAGTGCTTACGGAATAATTTTTACAGTCAGTATCTTTTAGGATTTTATATTTAATATTCAATTCAGACCTGTTAAAAGCTTAAAGAGAAAAAATAGCTGTGTAGTTCACACAAAGGAATGTAAACAAAACAACCAGGTGATTGAGAACAACCGGCTCCTCCACTGAAACCTTAATGTGCCTTTACACTCACAAATAATCATTTTACATGGAGAACATAGTCCAGGGTGTGATGACTGAGATACAATTCACTCTCCACTAAATTATTCAAATATACTTTCTCCATATCTTTTAAACAGATTCCAAGCAAACCAAAACCCCAGTAACTGTTAAGCAATGGATTTAATTCTACCTCATTTTTCTGCAGTTTTTTATGCATGAGTATGAAACAACCCCATAAGATCCACAGTGATCACAAATTACATTTCCAAAATGACACAACAAAATAAATGAGCACCTAGTCATGTCAATCAGATGAAGAGTTTGAGAACTGTCCTTGTGAACCACACGGGTTCATTTTCCAAGGTGTTTCTGTTCACATAATAGTACTTTACTGTGGATCAGTAGACTGCTTGTTCAATCTGAGAACAAAAATGGAAATGCAATTGCAATGATTAAGTTTGTTAAATATATTTTATAGTTTTCCTTTTGATGTTAAAGCCTGAATAGAAAAACTGTTGTTTTAACAAACTAATTCAAGATTATTTTCTAAGCATCTTCTGTTACTTCTGAATTGTTTGAAGGAAGAAAGTCTTCTTGAAATTCTACTTTGTCTGGATAGAGTTTGATGTAGGTGTCCACCATTAAATCCAAATCATGTTTTATATCAAAGTTTATGTTAAGCAAAGCTAAGTTGCTTGACCTCTGTTCTGTCAAGGTGTTCTTCAAGTATGCCTTCAAGCGCCTTCGTCCCACTTCATATTTCTCATTCTCCACTTTCATCACTGGAAGGATGCATAAAACTTTAAGCAATGCATACACATTAGGGAAAAACTTTATGTCAGGCAAATGAAGTGCTTCATAAATGGTAGCTGGAAGCTCGATATCTTTTCCTCTGTGCTTCCATTTGATTCTCCAACAATGAAGTTCTGCGCAGAGTGTATCTGGATTAGGTAGATCATTTTTGTACATATCAGCATGATGTTCCTCAGATGTATTAAATTTTAGTTGTCCCATGACTGAGGGAACTAAAGATAAACATTTAAGCGCTCTTAGATGTTGTTCTGAGAATATATCTTTCAATTCCTGAATAATGTGCTCTACAGTTGGAACACTAAGTGCTTCTTTGTAGTAATTTTCTGATGTTACATCAGAGTCCAAACTACCTTGCTGTGCTCTGCGAAATTTCCCGGGAAGTTTAATTTGTACATCCAGCTTTGTGGCCAAATTTGTTGCTTCTTCAAACCAAAATTCATGATAAACTTCAATATTCTCCATCACTTCATTCAGTGAATGCAACACTGCTGTTAAGCTGCTGGCTGCAAAAAACACATCTGATGTTTGGCCTTGGAGATTTTTTCCAAAGGCTCTTGTAAAAGACAGAATGTTTTTTAAAACTACAACAGTGACGATGAAGTCAAAATCTGTTAACGCACTTGCAAGTACAAATGCTCGACCAACAACAAAGCTGCTCCATCTGACAGACACATCACTGCTTATGCCATCCAAGCACAACACCAGTGCTTGCATAAGGTCAACTAAAATCTCAAAAGTATCATGTCTACCAGTCCATTGAGAATGGCAAATCTCCTTTAGTTCATTACTCTTTTCCTCGTTGTTCTGGAAAAGAACAGAGATTATATTGTCCAGTTCTACTAGCAATTGTGGTGTCTGATTAAAAAAAGAACACACTTCTTCTATTGTCCCTAGAGCAATAGAAATGCCAACAACAGGAACTGATTTTGCCAACCATACATTTAGAGCACAAGCAGAACAGAGTGTATAAACAGCTTGTGGATACTTTTCCAAGAGTCTTGTAGCTACAATTTTCATTTTTGAAGCAAATCCACTGGAGACAATATACGCTTGACCTCGACAGTATTCCATGTTTAGACCCCATTTTTCAGTAATAGTCGTATGGAATTTAACAGCTAAAATTTCAGCATCTGCCTCATAAGGCAAAAATCCTACAAATTCTTCTCTCAGATTGTGGGACTCATCAACAAATCTCACCAACACTGGCAAGTGTTCCTCACCAGCTATATCTACTACCTCATCAGTGACAATGGAAAAGAAGTGGGAGTCTCTCACTTCCCTGAGCGTCTCTTCTCTTACACAGCTCTCACAGATCTCAAGCATCTGTTTCTGTTGAGTTTTGGAACAATACTCCAGATTTACTGCAGCCATCTCAAATCGTTTTCTTAGAATCTCATCTCCAGCATTTATTCTGCATTCTAACAGTGCTTGGAAATTATCTGGAGTGAAGATACCTTCTGGAAGGTCATCAGCATTATGGCCATCCAAAGGAATATTTTGTCTGCCCATAAGGATCAAAATTTCAAATAAAGATTTAAGGTAATCTTTGTTTTCTCTCTCTTCCAGTGTTAAAGGAACAGCTTCCTCCTCTTGCTCTTCTCCTCCTTCCTCTGAAGTAGTATTCTGAGCATTGCTCTCATTCAGCTCTTGATTTGCTTGTTCTTGTTCAAAGGCTTCATCAACTACAAAATAAAAGACATTACACATCTAAGACTTCTTCATATAGGAAAGTCTGCTGCATTTACTTGCTCCACTACAATATTTATAAAACTGCTGAATGGAAACTCCATAGTATTTACAATTTAATTAATAGTATTTGTTTGGCACACTATTTATAATACTTTAATTCTGTCCAATAATATTGTAACAATCCTTACTATACAAAATGAATAATGTATTTCATACTATCTTATTTGCCTAAAGTAGTGCTACAAGTCTATAACAGAGGTTCTCAAACTATGGCCAAGGCCTGTGGATAACTTCCTTTAAGGTACGCACCTGGGCCGCTGCACATTTAAAAAAAAAAAAAAAAAAAAAAGAAGAAGACTGCTCACCTAATTAGTGGAGCCACAGATATGACTCCACTAATTAGGTGCCTGGACACTGGATAAGACGCACATGTAACATGAGGTAGTGATCTGGGAGAGGAATAGGGGATGTGCAGTGCTGCACCAGCCAGAGGAAGATGCATCTTTCCTCAATTCCAAGATTATGGTTTCCAGAGAGATGACCCTCCTTCTTAGCCTCACCTCTATTACTACTGTGACAGGGGAGAAGCCCTTGTAAATATTAAAATATGAGTTTTGCACTTTTACCTGTACAATAACATGTTAATAATCAAGTTTTATACAGTGCTTTTACCAAGAGCATTTTACAATAGTTAGTAATGGTACAAACAACATTCGGAAATATCATTAAGTGATCTGCTGAGACCCTCAGAAATGTGAGTGGGCTGCGAAAAAAAGTTTGAGAACCACTGGTTTACATGTCATTAAGAAATCAAATTTAAATATATTGGCCACTTACTCTTTTGCTGCTTCAATGTCCTTATTTCATCTTCGCTCTTGGGGGGGGAAAAAAGTTATAATACTGTTTCAAATTGCTGAAGAACTTCAAGACCAACTATTAAAATTCTAAACAAATCCATTTTCAGGGCCCTAATACTCATTAGACAGGTGCTATACATTCAGAAGAATCTGAAGGTTTTCAGATATAGCCTGGTGAGGTAACAGAAAGAATGTCAAGTCTATCTGAAGATTTGTTTATCTATCACATAGTGGAATAGTACTCCAAAGGAAGAGGGAGTGAGCCCTGTCATTAACATTAAGCAGTTTTAAATTTCGAAAGCACTACATAGTTAGTTTTATGGAAAAATTTTATTCTGCCAGGGAAATATACTAAGTAAATTAACAGAACATTTTCCATTTTAATTGCTAGGGTTTGATCATTCATTAAATGGGCTTATCAAAACCATAAAGAAATGTTTTAGAAATCAACTGTAATGTTCTGCATATGTCACTATACTTAAATGTTGTAGCCCTTAATTTCCATTACACGTAAATTTAGACCATACATAACCGGCAGACAGGGTCTCCGGGAAACATATAATGGAGCCATTGGCAATCTTCTACTTCAGCAGAAGCTACTTACTTCTGGTTTGAAACACTTAAAAAGGTGGTCACTATCATTCAATAATAAACTAAACAAAACCCAGCAACTCTGGAATTCTGCAAAGTTCAAAACATTAGAGCAGGGGTCGGCAACCTCCAGCACGCATGCTGTAAGTGGCACACAAAATGATTTTCACTGGCACACAAGCCTCCCCACCTGATCCAGTGAGTGGGGAACACCTGCTAAGTCCGAGTGTACCCCTCCTGCTCCATGTTTTACCATTTCCTTTCCCCCAGCTGGGACAGGCTCACGCTAGCATGGCACAGCAGCAATGGCCACTATACCTGCCACCACTGCAGAGAACATAGGCACTCTGGGCACTTTGCTGGTGGGTAGCTGTGGCAGCTTCCAGTGGCACGTGATTTCAGGAGTCCGGAGCATTTTTCAAGTCCACATGAAGCCTCACCATCCACAGTGGCTGCCACACACCATGCAGCCCCCTCCCTCCTTCCATAGTACTGCCTCTGCTGCACAGAGCCCCAGTCTAGCCGCACCACCTACTCCTCCAACTCCAGGCAGCCAGTTGTTGGACCCTCTCCCCCAGAGGACACAAGGCAAAACCCAGCGGAGACTTCAGCACCATGGAGCTTACCTGGAGCGCTGCAAGGCAGGGTGCACTCGGACTTAGCAGGTGTGCTCTGTAATCTGCTGTCCTCTCTCCCCCCCCCCCCCCGGAGATCAGCAGCAGATGGAGCCGCTCACTCCGCTGCTCTCCACCGCGAACCGTGTCTGGCGGAAAGGGTCAGGGCTTTTGTCACACACCTCCTGCATGCCCTCAGAGTGGAAAGCCAAAGCTGGTGCTGCAGCCTCGCCGCTGTGCAGGCTTCCTGCTGTGTGCGGTGGGGGAGGGGCTGAACTCCGACCCTGCTGGGGGAGCAGCAGTGCAGGGACACGTGAGGCTTTCCCCACTGGACGCAAAGCCAGGTAAGCATCATTCCTCATGCCCAGAGCTCCACACCTCAATCCTCCTCACTCATTCCCCTCCCACTGCCAAGACCCCACACCCCAACTTGCTCTGACACCCCCTCTTGCTCCTGCACTCTCCCTCCTGGTCAGACACCCTACCCCCATCCTGCTCTTGATCCGCCCTCCTGGCCAAACACAACACTCTCACTTGCTCCTGCTTCTTCCACCTGGCCAGACACCCTATTTCACTCTCCCCCTTCTGCACCCCATCCCTCCCCCAAGATCCTGCACCCCATCCATACCCCACTCACTGGCAGCCCTGTCTCGCACACTGAACCCCTCGTTTTTGTCCTTATCCCAGAGCCTAAGGGGATCCATAAAATCCACTAATTCTGGAACTCCAGAAAAGTAAATCTGGCCTGTGGGAAACCCTGAACCCCAGTCCTCCCCTCACCCTGTGAGGCTGGAGTGCCAGAGAAGTGAGGTATCTCAGTTGGGGGGGCCACATTTGTGAGGGTTGGGAGTTTTTTGCTTCTCGCTTGAGTGGTCCCCAACTGATTTTTCTGTGGGTCAGTGGCCCCTGGCCCAAAAGAGGTTCCCCACCCCTTCCATAAAGAAAGAAAATTTAGAAACCTTTTGTGTTGGACATAAATTAGCATTTTACTTTATTTAAAATGAAGTTTGATAAACTAACATGAGAAAGTTAAAATGCTTAATCGGTTTAATCATTTAAATTAAGCCAATCTCCCTAGCTACAACTGGTTCAGAAAATATGGTCGCTGTACCCAGCCTGCCCATGTCTCCCCCCCTTCCCCTCCCCCGGCACGCAGATCTGTAAATAGAAGTGAGTAAGTTAAAAGTTAGCACACCGCTTCTAAAAGGTTGCCGACCCCTGCATTAGAAGGTACAATGGTGATCACACAAATCCATGCTCAGCAAGATTTTCAGTGTAAAATCGATTAAATATACCCATAATCTATATCAAGTCTCTTATACCAAATTTGAGCAATACTTTTTTGTTCTATGTTTATTTTGTTAGAAATTTAAATACTAAAATCTTATGCATCTGTAACTTACTATATAATTAGGGAAAATCTAATAATACCTACTATGGTATTTTCTCTGTAATGACACTCAGAAGGATACAAAAGTGGGCATCTCTAAAACAAATTTTATTTACGCTTGTTTACTTTTACTGTTCTAATACATGAACTAGAAATTTAAACATACCAGTTCTTTTATTCTCTTTCTGTGCCTGCTGTGGGGATTGTTCAAGTGACTTGTAAGATCAAATATAGTTGGCACGGCATTATCTCGTAAAACTGTTCTGTAAGGACTCTGTAAAGAGAAAGTTGTCTGGATCAGAAATTTCCTTTGAAAACAATCTGCCTCAGTACATAAAAGACTGAAAATAAATTCAAAGATTAGGCTGAACTTTTTACCATTTATATTTGAAGTCTGTTATTTTGACCTTTACTTGGACATTAAAGCTAGGCTGGTCTGTTTCCAGATAGTTTCATGTTAGAGGCATTCAAATACCACTTATTATATAAAGGTCTCTTAAATCTATTTATTTTACATTTATCTTTATCTGTGGTGCCCCTAGCCTCTGTCAGAGGCTGGAAATGGGTTTCAGGGGCAGGATCACTTGGTGATTACTTGTTCTGTTCACTCCCTCTTCGGCATCTTGCATTGGCCACTGTCAGAAGACAATATATTGAGCTAGATAGACCTTTGGTCTGACCCAGTACAGCCGTTCTTATCTTTATACCACACCATCTTCCCCCATGCATTGTTTTTACTTTAACGATTGCACATTTAAATGCAACAATTATCCTGACTGAAAGACTCCCATGCATCATTAGGAAACCATGTTATGGCTCTACCTGCTTCAATCATGTTTCTTTGTTCATTATTGTTTTTTACTATGGACAATTAAACAGATATTCTCTCTCCATCTAAAAGTTCATCTATACCTGCAAGTTAGCATGTTCACTTGTGACATAACTGCATTAAAATATCACATGGTAATTGTGATTTTAATTGAAGAATATGCAGTAACAGAAGTCTTCTACATAGTATTTTCATACTAATGTCTGAAACATTTTTGCTCACATTTCTTATATAGAATACTAAACAACGTATCTAGCACTGCTCGGGTCCTTAACTCAATTAATTTGTGTTTTTCTTCAGTTAAATCATTTCCCTGGGATGGAGCAGGAGATGAGGGATTCAATATGCAGGTTGCCCCAGGAATAGAGGATTGCCCCTGCCCTCTCTCAACGCAGCAACTTGGGACCAGGTGAGAAGCACCTTTCCATAGCTGTTGCAACTCCTGCAGCACAGACTGGGGACAAACACACAGACTGAAAGACACACAAAACAGACAAACGTTCTCAAATATATAGGAGATAGCTGTCCCTTTCTTCACCTCATGCTGCCCCAATGGTGTTATAGCTTGCCTGGTTCCCATCTCTGGCCTCTTGTTGCTCTCCTGTGGTCATTATACAGTATAATTGTCCCTGCTTTCCATCCCATATCTACTGGTGCTCCCATGTGGTCATTATATAGCAAAGCCCTCCCTTTCTGTTTTATGAGAAGCAATCCCATTCCAGGCACACATCCCATTTTCCTGGCACAATCAAACCCTTACCTTGCTTTAAGTTATGATAAGAGGGAGATGTATACTGAATTTAGTGGTCCTAACTCTCACCGTTTAGGGGGAGTTCTTGAACAAACACAGACACACTCAACAATATAGTACATATTTCATAGTTTTGAATAAGACATCAAATATTCTTTAAGTACAGGATTCTATAGTGAAAACGTAAGCCAGCAAAGATTATTATATTCTGCTAGCAACTGGATTCAGCTGTTATTCCAAGCATATATTATTGCTTTAAAAAAATCTCAAGCCAAACTAAACTTAATAAAATACTATTTTTTATTACAAATTAGTCTCTACAAGAGTTTTTTTCCCCCCTTAGACACAGTCTGCTTTGACTCCCAGAGCTCAAAATCTGCCCTGCATATTTTGATATTAACATTATGTGGTTGAAAGACCATTTAAAACACAGGAGTCATGCACATTAAACAAAAAAAACCCAATAAATAAATCTGCAACCACAATTCTAAGTTTGTTGCAGAATCCATGATCCTGTTTCCCACTGTCATGGGAACAGTTAAGATGTCGCCCCATGAGCTAAAGATACTACAGGCAGTCCCCGAGTCACGCGGATCTGACTTATGTCAGATCCGCAGTTACGAACGGGGCCCTCTCCCTGGTCTCCAGCAGACCAGGGAGAGGAAGCAAAGCGGCGGAGCACGTGGGCAGCGGACAGCCCAGACGCGTCTGGGCTGTCTGCTGCCTGGGTGGGCCGCCGCTTTGCTTTCTCTCCCTGGTCTGCTGGCGATCAGGGAG